GGAGGGGGTGCGCCAGGCTCAGCTCGGGGCAGCACCCCAGCCCTGCGCCCAGCTCCACGGCCGGGCCCTCCGTGGCCCTGCCCGTGGCCACCAGCCACTCGCTGCCGTCCCCCACCCCATCCCTGTGCAGGGCCACCAGGCACCATGCCAGGCTCAGCCCCTCGTCCCCTGATGGCGCTGGGATAGGGAGAGGCCGAGAGGATGCCGAGAGGGTCCCCATGAGGGTCTGGACCCCATCAGGGGCCACGCGGTACAGGGCCACGCGGTGGACGTGCCGGAGGAAGAGGAGGGCAAGAGGGGCCTCGGTGAGGAAGGTCTGGAGGAGACTACGGAGGCGGTCAGGATCGGAGACCCCTGCAGCGATTCCCGAGGGTTGCTGGCGGAGGGGGAAGCGGAAGAGGGTGCCCTGGGCAGAGTCACGGTGCTGTCCCACAGCTTCCAGCCCAGCCCAGAAGGGCTCAAAAAGGCCAGGAAGGTCCCGGGCTGCAGAGATGTCCCAGCGGGCACCGGCACCTGGCAGCGGGGTCCAGCACCCCCAAGGAAGGGGGGCTCAGCACACCTGGCAGGTCTGGGGACATGGGAGCCATGAGGCCATGGGGATGGCGTGGACACCACCACCTCCCCAGATCATCCCAACCCATCAGTGCCCCGGGCACCCGCCCAGTACCCTCAGGTTCAACCCCACAGTGCCTCCCAAGATCCCAAGCTCAGTCCCAGTTCATCAGTCCTCCCTCGGTTTGCTCCTGCAGCCCTGCCCTCCATCGCCACCCAGCTCGAGACACAGCCCTCCATTCTGCACCCCCTCAGTGCCCCCCAGTACTCCACGGCACCTTCAGTTCCATGCCCCCCAGTCCAGCCCATGGCCCCAGTTGGGTTCCAGTGGAGGCCCCCAGTGCTGCTCACCGGTGAGGTGGTAGACGGAGGTGAAGCCCAGGCCGAAGCGCCCCACCGTGCTGGGGTCCCCCCGCTTGTGGGACACCCCGGGGCGCAGGAGCCCTGCCCAGTCCCGGGGGGACATCAAGGCGTCATTGTAGGCCAGGAGGGCTGGGCCTGGGGGGGTCAGACCATGGGTTAGTGGAGACATGGGGCACGCAGGAGGGATCGCGACCCGCACTCGGTGTCCCCACCATCTCAGTCGCCCCTCCAGTCGCACAAAACCTCCCTCAGTACCCCTGAGTCCTCCCAGTACCCTCAGTGCCCCCAGCACATCCCAGAACACCTCGTTGGTCCCAGTTCCCCCAGTCTACTCTGATACCTCTTCAGTTCTTCACCAGTATCCCCCGCTCCCTCCCACCACCTGCCAGTGCCACCCCTGTGCTTCGTTCAGCCTCTGCCAGCGCCCGTAGCCCCTCTCACCTTGGGTGCCCTCCAGCCCCCCTCCGGTGACGTCGAACTCCCGCTCGTCAGAGACGAACACGACCTCGTTAGCGCCGGCGTCGTCCGCGTTCTGCACCAGCTCCTGGGTTCGGGGGTCAGTGCCTGGACGCCTGGGTCCCCCCGGCCCCCGGAGGAAAGCACCGACCCGTTCTCCCAGCCAGCTCCGGGGACTGGTGCTGGGCTCCCCGGGGGTCTCACCTTGAGGATCTGCCCCCCGTCAGGGTACTTCTGCAGGATGCTGTGCAGGTAGTCGAGGAAGATGGGAGCCCGCTGGCAGAAGGCCTCCCTGCAAAGCAGCAAGTAGGGGTGGGG